GCAATAACTTTTGACCCAAGCCTTGTACGAGCTTACTTTTACCGGCATCGTGTTCCTCTCGTCAAGACGCATCGAATGAACTATAACTTGACCTTGAAAGGTCAACTTGAAAATTTGACCTCAGGTCAAGGTCATGACCTGACCGGAAAGGGTCATGTTGCATATCAGTCGATCCGTATCGTCGAGCTGAACACATCTAAGGCGTTTTCATCGCTCTAGCATGCCTCTATCAAAAGTTATTTGCGAAAAACTGTTAGATACCATTCGTGACCTAAGATGACCTCAGGGCATAAACAAGGGTCACGGACACCATTTTCAAGTTCAGTGTGTCTAAACCACTTGTAATTCGGTGTTTGGGAGTGTGTATAATGTCTTTCATCCAAAAGAGGCGCATTTCAGTTTTCTCCCATTGACTTATAATGGGGAGGTCGCAAAATTGACCTGACCTTAGGTCATCGATATCAAAATTCTGAGATATACATTTTGTACATGCTATTGCTCTTAGCAATCGCTGAAAGTTTCAAAGCGATCGGTCACTCGGTGTAGCTATGACAGACATTGAAAGTTTTATGAGGTGAGGTCACTTCAAGTGACCTGGTGACCTGACCTTGAATGACCTTGGTCTGAAATTTTCACAACATGTGTAGAATTGATGTATGATAAGGTGTACCAAAAACGGCGGCGCTCCGCGCCGCCGTTTTTGAGATATTCGCGAAAAACCACAAGGGGGGGTGTTCAAACACCCCCCCAGCAGGGCGCGGGTTAAGTATGTCGACCTGAATACAAAATTTATACTTACACAAAAATATGTACTTACGCCGTCGACCTGAATACGGGCCCTGGTTCACACTGAACACGAATTTACTTTAAGTACCGTATTTTACTCGAAGAGGGCAAGAACGCTTTATAACCGCTCATTGCCAAAGAAGACTGAGGATGATTTTGGAAATCACGTGGGCTGCATAACGGAATGGCTGCTACCAGGTTACGTGGTCAAAGGTGTAAAAATACGCAACACTTCTTCAAAACTGCGATGGCCCATGCATCCCGGGGCGGGGGCCCAGACCTCCCGGGTCTCCCCTACATAGGTGGAGCTTTGTGCCGAGCTGGGGATGCCCGGGCGCAACAAATCCACCGCCCGTGGTGGTGACCTTGACCCCCGTCGTCTGTTGCGACTCCAAAGCCAAGCCGGCGTGGAACCATGGGAGAGCTCGGGCCCTCCCAGCTCGGTAGGTACCTACCTACAAACCTCCACCTATGCAGTCAGGCCATTGCATAAGAGAATAACGATAAACAATTTAGTTTATCTAGGTATATTGATATCGGCACCCTAAGTTCGGGTCAATTTTGCGACCTCTCCGTCTCCATAACCTACCTAAAAGCTAACGAAATAAAATTCAACTGTCCTTCGTTTGGACGAAGACATTTCAAACATTGAAATACGAGTACCTAAGCATGACACACTGAATCGGAAAATTGCACCCGTGAATCTTGTGTGCCTCTTTTAACCCGCGAGCCGCTGGGGGGGGGGGGGGCACAAAGTTGCCCCCCTTACGTTTTGTAAAATATATCCGAAACCTGATAAGCTACGATCGTGAAACTTGGCATACTTTCAAATAAATACCTAGGCAATGTTTGATAAAAGTTTGGTGGTTGTAGCACCTAAGATGACGTCACAGTGACGTCATAAAGTTTTGCCGTTTTCCGATATGGATCGTTTCTGATGACGCTGAGCATGAAACTCAATTGCAAATGAACTAGACAGCACCTGCTGTCATCCTAAAACATCTAACTACACTTCCATCTAGTTTCTGACCAATAATCGGTCCTTTATATTCGGTCCCATATATCTGATGTATCGTGAGGAATATGAGAGTCGCAAATCTATAATTTCACTTATGACGTCACTATGACGTCATTTCAAATGGGATCAGCACCAAATTTGGACACAACCTCGGCTAGGTATTCACTAAGATGTGTGCAAAGTTTCGCTTCTCTATCTCTTCGTGTTGCGACGATATCGTCGCAGAAGTAAAGGAGGGGGGCAGCTATATGCCCCCCCCCCCAGCGGCCGGCGGGTGGCGCGGAGGCCCAGCGGCCGCCGGGTTAAATCCTTTTATGGCAATTAGTTTGCCCTTCTAAAATAGATAGGTATTCTCACACGCACAGTTTCTGTGGATTTTCATTTTATTTCTTTTTTTTGTGCCTTCGACTCGACTCAAACCCAGGCTTCCGAAATCGACTCTGGTTCCGATCAGTGCTATCGACTCTGACCGCTCATGCCTCATACCCTGACCTTGCAGCTGTATAGCAAGCTACATCTTTTCAACAAACTTTTGGCTCTAAAACTCGGGCACAACCGACCACTAGCCTGATCCTGCCGGCCAAATTCCTGAGAGACATTGTCCTTCCCTGCCCGTGTCCCGCTATCCTCGGAACCAGGACGTCCATATATATATTTATAGGACGCGGTGACCCGGCGGGCCATCGTTCGTTCGTTCGAGACGCCATCACTCGAGGGCAGCATAAATCAGGAAGGAGCACTCCAGCCATTGCACTTCAGCAGCGGACCTTTTATGAAGAGTTGGTCTGATACAGGCTGCCTAGAAAATCTACAAAGGGAAGTTTATCTGTTTATTTTATCTGGTGTTAACGTAAGATTCTGCACTAGTCGCTGGGTTTGAGGGCGGGGGCACTCCTGGTCATCTGATCATGGGTGGCGGAATAGTTCGAAAAAAGTTTCACTGCTTGTATTTGCGACTATATGGGGGAAGGTGGGGCAATATGGGCGCAAGGAACATTTGTCTCCTGTTCCCTCGCCGGCACAGGGGGGAGGGGAGATGCAATGCAGATGCACCCCCCCCCCCTAAGGTTTTTTGCGAATAACTCGCGTAAAAAGCGTTCGATCGCGACGAAACTTTTAGTACCTTCGCATTGATCAATTTTACACCTACCCTGAAAATTTCCTGACCCTGACCCAAATGATCTTTGACCTGTGACCTTCTTTTCGAGACCATGTTTGGCCGGAATCGCGATTCGGCGTAGGTATGTCGGCTCGCATTAGCCGCGCGTTTGCAAGCTTTTCGTGGTTTTAAAGTTCAAACGTTCAAACATGTGATGTGATGTTGCTCTCATGCATTGGGCTGGATGTCAAGGTCACCTGAAGGTCTGGTCAGGTCATTGACCTTTGGTGACCTCGGTTCACTTTGTCAAGTTTTAGGTACCAACATGTTTCCAGGCTATTTTTTTAGCTGAGTTAGAATTTAGCAACCATTTGAACATTTACGAAGTAGTTTTGGTGCTTTCGTAACATGTTACGAAGCTGTCAGAGGCGGTTGACACGTACCTACTACGAATATCCGTCACAACCCCTACCGGTTGACCTGGCCTGACCTGACCCGACCTGGTCTAAATGTTTAAAGACATCATCTGTAAACAAAAATAACACGCAGCGCCCCGAAAAACCCATAGCAGCCACACTTTACGACTTTCTAACAGGTCCCGATTTTCCCGACTTTTGGGTCATTGACCTGGCCTGGAAGGTCAACCGATGACCTAGGACCTCAAAATTGGGTATCATCGACTTACTCTCGTGACGGGCAACCACGGTCGTTTTTTTTTCCGCGAAGCTCTAGCTTGATCAGGGGCCAAATGCGAGGGGGGAGTCGTACCCCCCCTCCTTGTGCCGTCGAAGGAAGCAAAATGGCCTGTGCCCGCGAGGGTTAAAGTGACCATCCCTTAACCCGGCGGCCGCTGGGCCTCCGCGCCACCCGCCGGCCGCTGGGGGGGGGGGCATATAGTTGCCCCCCCCCCCCTTTACTTCTGCGACGATATCGTCGCAACGCGACGAGATAGAGAAGCGAAACTTTGCACACATCTTCCTGAATACCTAGCCGAGGTTGTGTCCAAATTTGGTGTCGATCCCATTTGAAATGACGTCACAGTGACGTCATAAGTGAAATTATAGATTTGCGACTCTCATATTCCTCACGATACATCAGATATATGGGACCGAATGTGAAGGGTCGATTATTGGTCAGAAACTAGATGGAAGTGTAGTTAGATGTTTTAGGATGACAGCAGGTGCTGTCTAGTTCATTTACAGACGTTGAGTTTCATGCTCAGCGTCATCAGAAACGGTCCATATCGGAAAACGACAAAACTTTATGACGTCACTGTGACGTCATCTTAGGTGCTACAACCACCAAAATTTCCTCAAACATTGCCTAGGTATTCATTTGAAGCTATGCCAAGTTTCACCTTCGTAGCTCATCAGGTTTCGGAGATATTTCACAAAACGTAAAGGGGGGGCAACTTTATGCCCCCCCCAGCGGCTCGTGGGTTAAGACGTGTGCGTGATAGGAGCCACTTGGCACTTACCCTAAAACATGTTCGACGATGTTCAAATGTCAAGGTCAGGATCAAGGTCAACCTGGCTCGGAACCACAAAACGGCATCGTCATCGGTACCTACCTACATGGTGAGCAGCGCACTTGATATCCAACGGTGACCCAAAACAGCAACTTTTTTGTTTGACCTGACCTGGAAAGTCAGGTCAAACTAAAAAAATGACCTGACCCGAGAAGGTAAAACTGGGTACCTATCATTGGATTCGTCTCTTCCCAAAGAATCTTTTTGGTCCTTACCGCGAAGCTCTATCTCCAACAGGAACGAAATGGCGCCGGGGGGGGGGGGGGGGTCGCAAACACCCATGTGCGTTCTAGGATGGGAAAATGGAGTGATGTGCGGGTGGCATGATGGGGGTCGCTAATTAGGTATCTATGGCCCTCCACGCCTCCGCAACCCCCCCCCCCCCCTCCCCCCTCAGCCGGAGCTGATGTTTTATGCAAAAAATAAATAGGTCCGGTGAGGGTGAGCTCTTCATTTACCGAGGGGGGACGGTGGATGGTATTATCCCGACCCATCATTGCCATGCAAAAAGCGGTGTTTTGGAAAATTTATTTACCCTTCAAAATGATGGAGAGTGTTTTCTCCCTGATTGAAAAATACTTCAATATGGCGGAAAAATTACTCGATGATTGCTGCGCATTTGTTACAATTATGGCTTTTAGCTTTCATCGGCTTTCATCACTGAACGCTATAATGGCTTTCATTGCCATTGGACGCTTGTGCCGCGCGGCTTGCTAGCGGATACGCGCCCTAACCCAACAACAACAAACAACATAACGTTGATAGCAAGAGTGCGTACTTGAGTGCGTAGCAGTTGCAGTAGGAGCCGTAGGAGCAGGAGGATATTGATATAGAACCTTGGCAGGAGGTACGTTTGTATACGGCAGAACCTTGGGGCTGGGGATGAATCTTGGGTAGAACCAGGGTATGTGGGGGGGGGGGGAGAGGGTCGTACCCGCCCCCCCCCCTCGGCCGGCGCGTATGTAGAAAACCAATAGGTCCGGCGAGGGTTAAACCTCATATTCATTCACACTGGAAATACATCCTACTACATTTGTGTGGAAATGAATGCTATCAATCTGTTTTCCCTCCGTTCTTACCGCTCCCACGTGTTTTGGCTTCACCTGACCGCCAATTTTCCACTCTCATCTCCCTGTCTACTGAATAAGTTCCATCCTTGACACACAAGCTAAAATATAATTTTTGGACACTGAGCACCTGGAGCGATTTGATCAAGGATCTTGAAATTTGCTTGCACAGATCACATGATAATTAACCAGTTGAAGGCAGCGAGAGGGGATAATTTCTTTGAAGTCACATGACTAATTATGCCCTTTGGCACCCTGTTTTCAGATTCTACCGATACAAGCCATGGCTGTGACGGTGCTACTTCTTTTGCTGGGCCTCTCCTCGGGGGTCTACTGTGATGAGGGTGTCACCAGAAAGGTGGGCAATATGTTTTTTTACCAGCTTGTAGATGGTGCCTAAACCATAGGTTTTAGGTATAGGTAACATTTCATGTTCTCATTTTTATCTATTGGTTTAGTGGTTTAAGCCTTTGTCTCTGATGATACATTTTATTATCCTTTGCTTTTAAATGAGCCTATTTGCAATATTTGATGTATCAATTTACTCTAGCTGCTGCCATGTTCCCTTTGTACTTTGTCCACAAATACCATTGATTGTTAGGGACCGTATGCTTTTCTATTGTTTAATTTATAGTTACTAGACAATCCTTCTTTTTAGTGTTATGCCCAATGAATTAATGCACTAAAAATTCATCAAATCAATATTATCCGTATAACGTTTTTTTTGTCTTCCTAAAATAATGTTTTGTTTGAATATTGTGTTTTTTAATTTACAACCACTGGCTTCAAATTCTAAAAAAGTGCACCTTCCATTGAGTTACCTCATTGCAAAATTTTGGTTAGTATGTTTTGATGACTCCGTACCTACTTTTCTCAGTAGGTATGCTGTAAATGTGCAATGTGCATGTATCCACATGCTGCACATCCTGATGGTTTCTAGAGTCATGTTTGGCTCTCAGTAACATCTAGCTGTAACATGACTCCTTTACATGAGCATAATCATAAATAATACTCCCAATGTGATCCTAGGGAACATTTTTTATTATAAATGTAGCTCAACTGTGTGCTTTTTGAATGGACAGAGCTGGAGCCCGCCCGTAACAGAGAGCGTATGACATAGACATAGAAGCAGAACCCTGCTATCTGATTGCGCAATTCTGGGTACCTAACAAGATAATTCAGATGTCAAAGTTAAACGTGCCAATCAAAGCCAGACTCGGTCTGTCCCACTCTACTGACTTCAACTGGCTGCGGCTGCTCCCACCAACCGCAGGCCATTCCCATCAGGAGTCTCAAATATCGAGCGCAGGAGCGACTGGAACCCGGGCTCTCACCTCTGGGAGTCCAACACTACACCAATTGAGCTACAGGACAGGCGAAATACAGGGTGGGGCAGCATAATCGGGAATGCTTTTTGGGCTCTGATCATGAGTATGCATGGCAGTATTTTGATAAATTATATCATGGCAACGAAACGCCCAAAAGTTGTGCATCATCTGACATGAATACATCCATGAGCATGCAACCTCCTGGAAAAGAGCAGCAAAATAGTTCGACGGTGCTCCAAGTGCTTCGCGCGCGCCCATAGACACTAATGTTAAACGAGCAAAGCAAGATGATTTTGTTTAAAACCCTGCAATGCCACGTGAAGGTTGCTTGACAGGTCAACATGTTATCACGGACAATAAGGGTTGTGTGGGAATACTCAGGACAAAAGATTAACGTAATCCTCGTAAAATAACTCTTAGCAGAGGACATACAGATGACTCGCTTGAAAATCAGGAAGAAGCTCTTGAGCACATTAAAAAGAAACAATGTTCAAAACTTCCGCGACCAAAAATCTCACCACCGACTGGAATACGATAAAAAAAGAATGGCATGCCATATAGGGGATTGTATCGAAAATATTCCAGCGGTCATGCGAAGTAAACATCCTGTTGGGGTGATGGACCTATCGGTGGTCTTCAAGGGAGGTGCACGTGGTGCACTCTACTTCATCCAGCCCGGATAAAATGAGCACCTCTGGTAAATACATCCGCACTCTGGCAGACTCACGTGAAGCCGTCGGAAGAAAGGATCACTGACGGTTCACATCACGTCTTACGAGGACTCTGTCCGTGCTGGTACTGTAGTGAGGACGACATGTTATTGTGTAGGGCACCTCCAGCTGAGATGAACCAAAAACTTCTGGTCCTTCAACTCCGCAGATTTAAATCCGATCAAATTCTTTACATGGAGCGTCTTTTGGTAGAAGGTTAATGAACAACTTATCATCAGTAAAGACGGTCTTCAGTGCAAGGCACGAAGCTGATGGGTGATCATGGACAAGCAGGAGGCTGCACGTGCATGCGCGTGCTTTTGGACCCGCCTTGAGAAGGTCATCGACTCCGAGGGCGGTCACATGGGATGAGGGATAGGTAAAAGGTGACCGATTGATGGGATAATGCTAAAATAGTGCTTGGAGCTGTATTTTTAAATTCATGACCAAATAATCCCGTTTGATATTTATTCCCGATTATGCTGCCCCACCCTGTAGACATGGAAGCAATGGTTTATAAAATACTGATGTGAGAGTATGTGTGGGTCGCTGCGGGTTTCGGTTGGTGCCGGGGCAGACTGGCGCGGCTCGGACCCGATTCTAACCTCAGACTGTGGTACCTATCCCTGCCCCGCTGGCCGGCAGCTGACCGTGACCCGCGAGTACGACGCGTGCATGGACCAGCTGAACGACAGCACCACGTGCAGCTCCCACCAGCTGGGACACGTGGTGTCCGAGTCGGCGGCCGACACGCTGCACGTGCTGGTGTCGCTGTGGGCGCAGCCGTCGGTGCTGCTGCTGCACCTGCCGGCCGCCGCGCCGCCGCCCAGTATCGACTGGACGCTGCTGACCGGAGCGAACACGACGGGTGCCATCCAGGCGGACCAGGTGCTCTCGTCGTACGGCCTCAGCCTGGATCAGGTGAGGGAGACGAAGGACAGGGTCTGTCCGGACCAGGGAGGCTCTGCCAGGACCAGGGCAGGCTCTTCCTGGACCAGGGAAGGGTCTGCCCGGGTCACGGATGCTCTGCCATGGTCAGGGTAGGCTCTGCCTGGGTCAGGGGAGGCTCTGCCTGAACCAGGGGAGGCTCTGCATGGGTCAGGGAAGGCTCTGCCAGGGAGGCCCTGCCTGGGTCAGGGGAGGCCCTGCCTGGGTCAGGGGAGGCCGGTGAGGCCGGCGCCAGAGCGGCCGACACCACGGCACAGCCTCCTATTTCGTTTCCGATATAATGAACCCTTTTCCCTTATATAACAGATCTTACTCCGCTGCAGACCGTTCTTCACTTGAACGACGGGCGTATTGGTCAGTTCCGCCGAGCTGGTCTGCTCCTCCCCCAGCTGATCGAGTACGACGCCCCGCTCCTCCCTCAGCTGATCGAGTTTAACGCCGCCCCTCCCTCAGCTGATCGAGTTTAACGCCGCCCCTCCCTCCCTCAGCTGATCGCGTACGACGCCCCGCTCCTCCCTCAGCTGATCGAGTTTGACGACCCTGAAGACACTGCCGACGTCACGCACGCCAATGCCACCTCGCTGCGTCCGTTCGCGCTGGACATAGTGGCCCCCGGCGCAGTGGTCTCCAACTGGACATCGACAAACGACAGCGGGGAGCAGGGCGGCATCCATGTGCGCGCCCCTCCTCTGAACGCCAGCGACTGGACGGCCGTCGGCAACGTGACATTCTCCGTGAGAGAGAGGGGGAGGGAGCGAGGGAGGGAGCGAGGGAGCGAGGGAGGGAGGGCGTGGGAAGAGAGGAAGGGAGAAATGATACTCATTTCAATTGCATGATATAAGAAGAGTACGGCGGTATTTTGTATTTTACGACACAGATTAAGATAACACTTCCCCCGTCTGATCGTCCTATCTGGCCTGACTGACTGTCCTATCTGGCCGTCCGACTGTCCTGTCTGGCCGTCAGGCCGTCTTATCTGACAGTCTGTCTATCCTTCAAACCATCTGACCGCCCTATTTAACAGCCTGCCGCCTTGTCGCACCGTTTGACCGTCTGACTGCCCTCTGTGACCGTCTGACCGCCCTCTCTGACCGTCTGACCGCCCTCTCTGACCGTCTGACCGCCCTCTGTGACCGTCTGACCGCCCGCTGTGACCGTCTGACCGCCTGTTCACCCTCCCTAACCGTCTGTGTGCGTCAGGTGGAGGTGCTGGACACGAGCCGGCGCACGGACGAGCTGCCGCACCTGCAGCAGACGGGCACCTCGGCCGTGGCCAGCCTGGTGCTGGACAAACTGCTCACCAGCTCCGGATACAAGCACTCGCGGTAGGCGAGCGCCGCCGGCCGCCGGCCGCCGCGCGACCCGGCAGATAGCCGAGCTGCCGGGAAACCCCAGAGGGTGGGCTAGAGACTATATAGCCTCTGTATGGGATTTATAGGCTGTATGGCTACGAGTGGACGACAAGGATATCTGTGGATATAATGACATCTTTCCCAAAGAGGTCTTACCTGCACTTTCCCGTATCTGAGGTTGCTTGGTTTGTTTGCGCTTTTCTATACGGCCCGACCCCCTGAGTCCGCTCCGACTCCCGACGTCTGATCGTGCGGCTACCTGTGCGGCAGGTTCGGCGTCCAGATGACCACCGTCGGCAACCGCAGCCAGAGCCTGCAGGTCATCAAGAGCCTGGACGACGAGTACACGCCCGGCGTGTTTAAGGTGAGCGCTGGGGCCAGACCAACTGTGATCACCGGCGGCGCTCGAAGACGGCCTATGCTGCCGCCTGCATTCATAAGCTAAGCTTCGCTAGTACTGAGTACTGTGTCTGAACTTAATTCACGAGTTTTCATATTTGTGCTTAATATACACGGCTCACACTAGACTTAGTGGGTTACAATTCAATTATTCAAGGATGCTTGGAAACATAAGATCATTACTTTGTTTTCATTGGATTTTTGGGTAGCAATCGTTGGTATTTCTTCATGGGTTATTAGCTTAACTGAACCGTTAGTATAACACTTGCACTCAATTCTTTGAAGCCAGCCAGCTCTAGCTGCGCGGACACATGCCTCTCCCGACTCCGGTCGGCTTGACCCCTCCCGCGCTGTCGACCCTGACCGCTCCCCCTCCCCCTCCCGCGCTGTCGACCCTGACCGCCCCCCCCCCCCTCCCGCGCTGTCGACCCAGACCGCTCCCTCCCCTCCCGCTGTCGTTCTGACCCCTTCCCCCCGTCACGCAGCTGGTCAGTCTGTCGTCCAGCGCGACGTCCGCCGGCTACCTGCAGTGGCGTCCGGTCGCCTACACGGCCCCCGAGTACATCATCGAACACTCCACCACGGCGCGCCACTACGCCGTCCGCGCGGCCAACGCCACGGCCGCCAGCCCCCTGCTGAGGGCCTACTTCGGCGAGCGAGCGCTGACGCACCAGCTGAACGTGACGTTTGGGCTCAGCGAGGACGGCTGGTACACGGACGCCAAGTACTCGGCCTGGTGAGTTACAGTCGAGATTAGACGAGCTGAGTTGAGTGGAGTCGCTGAGATGACAGCCAGCGAGGAGGTGGAGGGGAGACGCGTTAAATTACAGTTATCTTTGTGAAATGGGAGTTTGACTCTGGGTCGCTGCAGATAAGATAAGACTGTTCTGAGTGGCTACATGATAAGATAAACTAAAAAGTTGGCTACTTGACCTTGTTTTGGCCCGTCCACCGCGTGCACATGCTTGTGATGTGACCGACTGTGGCATGACTAGTCAGCGACCTTTCTGAGCTCTCCCTCGCCCAGCCGCCCGTCCTCATGGGACACAGCTAGATAACCCATATGGCCCCTCGCATTTCCGTTTTCCCTCTTGTATTTCTGTTTTCAGCTGGCGACCATTCTGTCCTCTTTCTTGCCGACTGGAGACCGATCTGACCCCTCCCCGCCGTTTGCTGTGCCCTCTGACCCCTCCCCCCCCGCCTCGCCCCCTCAGGGAGCTGACGGTGGGGATCGGCGCGCCGCCCGAGGACGAGTTCTCTCTGATGGTCATCCTGTTGCTGGGCTTCGGCCTCGGCCTGCCGACCGTGGCGCTGGTCGGCGGCGGACTGTGGATGGCCGTCCGCAAAGTGCGCGGTCAGTCGGCCTCCCCCGCCAGCCTTCTCGTCGAGGAGGAGTAGAGGGAGGAGTGGTAAGAGAGAGAGGGAGGAGTGGAGTACAGACGGCGGGACGTGGTGCTTACGACGGGACCATTTTCTGATTAGATATCGAGTCCGGTCGGTCTGTGGGTGCCTTGAACGCGGCTCGGCTCGGAGAGGCTGGACATTAGAGTCGCCCCCTGGCGTGTCACCTATTTAGGGTTTGATTGTGGCAATGATTGGAGAGTATTGTAGTGATTGACGGTATGTCGGAGCCCGGCTTCTGGAGCTCACGAACCTCGGTCCCCTGACTGGCGGGATCAGACTTTGCCCGTCATGTTTTATTTAGCCCCGCCTTGACGTCACACGTCGTGCCAAGCACACAATGTCCTGTCTCATAGTCGTAGCCAGCCTATCTTTTAGCCGTCCTGTCCTATCTTTTAGTTGTCTCCTATTTAGCCAGCTTTTAACTCTAGCCTGGTCAGTATTTACTTGTCTCAAGAAGTCGATGATTTTCCCCTGCGTTCCGAGCGCGTCGTTACCATCTCAATCCCTCCATCATCCCACCCAACCGCCGCCCAGTCTTCCCAGTGTCTGTGGCGCCCGGTCCATCCTGCGTTATCGTCTCCCCGAGCTGTCCTCTGAAGGCCACCGTCCCGTGCCCAGTGGGTACCCGAGGAGCCGTAAGGCGCCGGGTCGGCACAGGAGCCTGGGCGAGAGATATCGTATCGTCTCTGACGAGACGGTGTGGTATCAGGGCCACAATTCACTGCTGAGTGCCTGCCGTGAAGTGCGAGAGATATTACAGACATCTGTGTGTGTCAAACATATCAAACCTGATGATCTAGTGATGTAGATTATCATGACAGAATGCGTACCTGTGCCCGGGACCTTTATCGGGGACATTCTTAGACCAAATATCCTTTTAAATTGAGCAGTGCATTTTTTATCCAGGGGTCTATTAAACCGTTTGTTCTAATATATAGTGTATGATCGATCAAATAGAGGAACTATTTTATATACATGCACATAATCAATTGTATATTCTAGCGCAGGTAATTGCGCTTTATCATCACATTTAGCTCATGAGGTAGTTCAAATAGCAGTGTCTGCGTAACTGATGGTCGTTATCGTCTTTCGTTGATGAGCGACATGCCAAAACAGTTCCATGCTTACATATGTGCCCAATGTCGAATATCGTGTGAAATATATGAACTTAAAGCATTTAAGACTCATCGATATACTTATTTTAGTTTGTGCCCTTATATGGTCCTGATCTTGTGTTGTCCCCCTAGAGTTGATCATTTGATTCAAATGCTCTTCAGTCGTCCGTGTGCCGTGGCTTGTTTCTTTCGTCATATTCGAACCCTTCACTCCCCTAAGTGAGCGCCATCGCCCCTATTCGTCTCCCAAACAGTCACGTACGAATTATACACATGTCTATTTGCATAAATGACTACACATCTGACACAGGGCAGTCTACCTGACATTGTGCCGGCCGGGCCGACTCGGGACGGCCTGTCAGCATGGTGACGGCCTCTATACTCTGACATAGAGCGACAGCGAAACAAGAAGACGCCGACGGAGCAGCGTGAGGCGGTCGGCTGCCTCCGCAGCGTCCCAGCCGCCACCGCCCCCGCTGGAGAGAGGTGGCCACGGCGAGAGAGGACCGGACGTCACACCGGCGAACACGCTCAGACGTGTTGTAGCGACGGTGCAGCGGTTTGGCGTTTCGATTTTCCGCCACAGGAAGCGCTGTCCCTCGGAGCGCTGCGATGTCCCTCTCTGTGGCCGGCTCTCGCCTCTGTCCCTCTCTCCGCCCCGCGCAGCTCCCGTCCTCTGCCGGACAGAGGCGGGTCTGCGCCCTGGGGCCGGGTGCGCCCGTGACTCAGCCGGCGGCCGCGCTGGGCGGCGGCGACGATCCGGCGCCGGGCGGGGGCGGGGGCGGCTGGCGCTGCGGCCGACCGGCCTCCGCTCTCAGCTGGACGAACTATCGCGCACAGGCGCGTACTCCACACACAGACACACACTGGAGGTCCGGACACGCGCACAACCTGACCGCGACGGTCGGTAGGAGCACCACTGGCGAGACGCGCGTCGGCCGCCTCATCTATCACTGAACCGCCCGCCGTCCACAGCAGCGGCTGGGACGGCAGCGCGGCGGAGTCTGGGAGCAGGGGACGCTACAGCTCCTCCGAGTAGTAGCGTACACTGGTCGGCGACACGTCCTCTATGGTGAAGCCGTCCAGCAGCTTGGTCCGGTGTCGGTGTTTGACGTCGCTGGGCTTCAACATCGACCGGTGGTTGGTGAAGAGACGCTTCGGGGTGCGGATCGACTTTTGGCTGAGGCCCGACTGCTCGAGGAACTTGTCGTAGTTGGCAATGATCGGCTGGGTTTCTGCCGGCTCGGACTCAGCGCCATCTCCCGCCCGCCGGTCGAAGCTGAGCTTCTCGTCCCGGCCGCTGTCGGCGCTGCGCTCGCTCGCGGTGTCCGAGCACACGCTGCCGGAGATATCCTCCTCGAACTTGAACTCCTCGAAGTTGTCTTTTATCTTGACACCTTCGTGTTCGCTCATGATCAGATTGATATTTGACCGAGATCGGGGCGCGTTTTTCGGTTTGTGGTTGGACTCCTGGACGGGCGCCGGCTCCTCGCCTGCCTTTGTGGTCTCCTGAGGCACATTCTCCTTATCCTCGGAGGGCTGGCTGGCGGGCACCCCCTCCCGGGAGCTCTCCAGGTCCTCGGGTATGGCGGAGAGCGGCGCCGGGGCCGCGGCGGCCGCCTGCCGCGCCGCGGCGGCCTCCAGTTCCACTCCCAGCAGCTGGCTGATGGTGCTGACGATGGACGGCTGGCCGAAGGTGGCGCCGTTCACGTGAGCGCTGGGCGGCAGGATGAGGCGCGGTTTGAGCGGCAGCGGCGGCCGTCGCGGCGCAGACTTCTCGCGCTCGCGCGGCTCGTCGCTCAGAGAGAAGGTGACCGTCTTGGGCGGCGCCTTGCGCTGCTCGCGCGTGGTCTTCATGATGCCTCTCTCGGCGGTGGGCGGGCTGGCGGTGTCGCTGCTCTCTGCCGAGGCCAGCGCCGAGTCGGGCGAGCCGCCCGTCTTGGCCTGTTTGGGCGCCAGCTCGTCGGGCTCGTCGCAGTCGCTGATGCCGCTGTCTGGCTTGGTGCCGCAGCGGGCGCAGGGCGCGCTCAGCCGCGTCACCTTGCCGAGCAGCCGGCGGTTGGTGCGCCGCAGCCGCTCCAGCTCGCGCGCCTGCTGCTGCGACAGCTGATCGCGCTCCGACATCTCCTGGTAGATGAGCTTCTGCTCGCGCTTCAGCTTGCTCTGGAGCACGGCCAGCTGCTGCAGGATGCGCTGGAACTGGCGCTCCTTGAGCGCCTCGGCGCGGGCGGCCTCGGCCTGCTGGTCGCGCAGTTTGGCCGCGCAGGCGGTCACCAGCTGCCGGCTGCGCGCCTCCTGCAGCTGCAGGTGCTGCCGGGTGCGCTTCAGCGCGCGCTGCGACTCGCGCAGCTGCTGGCTGCTGGCGGCCGTCTGCTCCGACATCTGGGGGAGAAAGAGAGGGGGAGACTGTCAGAGAGAGCAGGGAGGCGGGGCGGAGACATATAGGGGAGGGGACATATACGGGGCGCACTAGTATTCAAAATTCAGATGTGTGGTCCTCAGCTCCAAAGATGAGCATAATGTAATGTAATGTAAGGACGAAGACGAGCATATGAGCCATTCAGCTATTCACGGGCTAGGTCTATGTAGATACCTGGAAATGGTTTCGTCATGCCGCTGTTACTTTGCTTGCGATAAAGGCATGTGCACGGGGAGTCCAATAACCGGTGTTGACCGAACAATAATGTCCCTCCTGGCCAACTGCACGGATAACCAGCGCTGGCCTTCGCCACCGATCTGCGATTCCACATAAATCACAGTGCTCTGAGTACGCGATATAAAAATAGCTTAATCCGCCAGATTGTTACTTTTCCCTCAACCATAACGAGATGTGAAAAAGCTCTTCTATCTAGGGCACTACGTTGTTGGCGCTCGACGAACAAAGCTCTCAAATGCAGCGCACTTGGTTTTGTTCTCATGGACTGCAATCACGTCATAAGAAAAGTAGATACGAAGGAGGCGATTTGCATCGTGATTGTATCGCCTTTCCTCCGATGACGTCATTCCAGGCGTGTGTGAGAGTCCGGTATTCTACCTATGGTTTGACACCTACACGCTCACTCGGCCGTGCAATGACTGCAACTCTGAAAACGCAATGAACAATAGGCATCGCGCAGTCTCAGAGCGAACCCGGATGGGCTCAAACGCTGCACCGGAGTCATCACAGCTCCGAAATCTGCTCAGGTCACGCACATTAACCATCTCCTCCCGCCTCTGTATCGTCCCTTGGAGCAGCTCGTCGGTAAGCCGCACTGCCAGCCCGACGTGGCCCGGTGCCATGCTCACTATCTTTTCCCGTTGATCGGCTCTCGGCGATCATTTCTGGGAGATCACATCAGCTCTCGGCGCGGTGCAGGATTACGGCCGGCGCCACCGGACCGGTCATGGAGCCGTGACGTCATCGGCTCAGTGACGTCACTGACTGCAGAGCTGACTCTCCGGCGGCCCCGCAGTCGGCCACGGCGCTGGCCTGTCCGAGAGAGACCAGAAGAGGCCATCCCCAACAGCAGCGATACAGACAGAGCCTGTTCAGACGTACCTACTGGCGGGCCTATCCTGCTGGTCCTGCTGGTAGTGTTGTGGCTACCTGGTGGCCGTGGGGAGCTGCAGGACCCGGCCCTGCAGGGCCGGGTCCTGCAGGTCCCGGCCCTGTGCTGCTGCTGGTCCTGGCTGTATCCGGGAGAGCTGCACGCTGCAGCCGGGGAGCCGCCCTGCCCGGCGGCGGTCCGGCCGGGGCCAGTGGCCGCGATATGCACCCGCCAGCTCCGGGCTGCGGCCGCTGAGAGCCGGGCCCTTTGTCCTGTCTTCTGCGCCTCAGCGCCGGGTGAACTCCTGGACATCACAGAGGCGCGGGGCAGCTGATGGCGCTGGGGCAGAGTCAGAGTGCCGAATCTAGGCCAATGCACACCGTCTGGCAGCGGGCCCAGTCACGTGCCTCTCGTCTACACCGGCTGACCGGCAGCGGCGCGGCGGACTGCCGGTCCGCGGAGCCTCCGGGCTGACCGAGCCATGGCCGGGTCTCACTGCCGCTGCTGGCTGCGCCGTCCGGGCCGAGCAGCCGGGTAGAGGTTCGGAAATCAGACCCTGACAGTCCGCAGCTTCCGTAATGTTATCAGTTGTCGCTGTCGACTAGTTTTCCCAGCGCGGCCACTGACGTGTTAACTGCACCCGCACGGGCTCATCTACATACCAGCGCCGTCCGCCTGCCCGGTAGAGATCGGCTCGGGGAGCTGGCGCCGCCAAATATGGCGCTGGACGCCGACCTTGCCTAAGCGCCGTGTCGTGAGCGTCCACCGGGCGGAGGCGGGCCGCTGTCGTGTGTCGCGCGCTGCTCTCCGTAACTGCACGTCACCCCGGCCATGGGGTTAGAGCCGCCGCCATCTGGTCTGAGGTCTCCTCAGATCCGGTCCAGGAGAACAGAGACGTCGGCTTTGTGTGGTGTGGCTGCCGTCCCGTCTCGCCGGTTCTGCGACTGAATCCGGTATCAGTATACAAACACTGAGCGGTGGCTTTTGTCACGCTAATCTATTTCAAACCCGGTCTGGGTGTTCAGCGCGGATAGCGGCGACCCGTCTCTCGCCTGAGTCGCCGACAGGTCTCAGAGCGTCTCCCGGGTCAGCACGTGACCGGACTGATCCGCACACGAGCCCACTTCGCTGACCTACAAGCAGCACACGCCTACGCGCCCGTAATGGGCGGTGTTAATCGGTGATTTACTGCCGGCTCGGCCGTCTGCGCATCGTGATGAACACCGACCGTGCCGTGTCCTCCGCCGCCGGACATTTCCTGTACAGACGTGATTGCAATCTCGGCTCGGACAATTAACGAGTCCGTTATTGCCCCATCACGGCGCTGCGCACGGACGGCCGTACGGCGCGCGTGGGGATCGCTCAGCGGCCGACGCCTAGCGGACCATTGTTGGTGGCTCGTAAGTCGGCGGGCGGCGCCGCGGGTCGCACTGTGACCCGGTGCCTGACCTCGCCGACCCGGGCCGGTGTCGGCGGTGGCCGGGTCGCCGCCGGTCGGGCCAGGTCGAAGGTCAGCCGGCGCGCGCGGCACCTCTCGAGGTCAGGGAGCCGAGAGCGGCCAGTCGCCGCGCGCCCCGCCCGCGCCGCGCGGGTCGTCAGTAACGACAATGTTTCAAAACGATCCGCCCGCGGTCTGACAGGGCGACCTCTCAGCCGCAGAGCCGGCCGCGTGAAGCTGTCTCCAAATTGCCCTCTGATGGATCGTGGAACTGCGCTCATTAACATCGGAGCCCCTCGAGCCGCGCGGCCGGCGGCACGCATTGCGCCATGATGCCGTGAAGAGCCGTCTCGACCTCCTCACGCCCCGTCGAGCCCCACTTGGCACCGCCCCTGGATAGCGCTGTCTCGCTCCGCTCGGCCCTGGATAACACCGTTCGCCCCGGGCAGTCCCCTTCCTTCATCTCGCGAGTAATTGTCTCGTCAGGGATCGTCTCCGACTCTCCTCCCTTCATCTCTACAGGCATCGTTTCCTCCGTGCGTCTCGCTAGGGTCCGTCTCCTCTGCCCGTCTCGCTAAGAATCGTCTCCCCCCTTCGTCTCGCCTGGAATCGTCTCCTCGTTCGCCTCGCTCCGGGTCGTCGTGGTTCGGACACGACTGAGCTCCCGACGGCACCGAGTCAACCGTCAACGACTCCGTCGCGGCACGGGTCGCAGTTTCGGGCTCCCGGCGGCGCCGTCCTGTGTACGACGCGGGGCGGTTCCGTGTGGTTCCGCGTGGTTCCGTTCGGTTTCGTCCGGAGCACTCCGCGGTGGTGAGAAGTCGTTACTCCTGCGCACAATGCCGTGACGCCATCGGGAGCGTCGGGCGGCGGCCCGCAGCGAGTAGATCCCTCGGCCGACAACCATACTGCCCGCCCTGTGAGGTCGGCCGATAGTCGGTCAGAGCAGCCCGCTCCCAGCTCGGTCAGGGCCGCACTGGACGGGACGGTCATACTGGCGACTCATGTTTCCATACAGCAATCAGCGGGCATAGAGCTGCAGAAGAGACGCCACAACAAGTCTAATGGTTGAACGATTAATGCCGGCGTGTATCTGAATGTTGGTCAACGTGATACACTTCCAGCGTATACAAATGTGTGGTGTGTAGTTTCGCAATGGTTTACCTTTGACCTACAGCAGTAAAAACATTTCACCTGGGTCTCAGGCGTAATAGAGCTGGCGTTGGTCGTGGAGTAGCGACCCATTGTATCACGCTTCTGTTTCGAAAGTTTTCGTCACAGCCGTCGCGCGGATGGGAACTCCGGCGGCCGTTTTATCGAGCGGAGCGCCGCGCCGCCGTGACCCCGGGTGTCACAGTTGACCCTTCACTGCCGGCCGGCCGTTCTGGGTGAAACTCCGGGTACCGTGCTGTACGGGTGGCGGGCTCAGCAGCTGGTGGGGTGGTCCCCGTCCGACCGGACCGGCTCTGCGCCAGTACGGCACGGCCCGGTCCCGCCTCGTCCCGCCCGGCTATCAGCCGAGCTGGCTGGGACGCGCAGGCACGGCGCGGCGGCGGCGCAGCAGCGGCGAAAGCTGCCCGCCGCTCGGGTCAGTGGGTCGCCTGGGTCGCCGGCGGCGACTCCCGACAGCCGCCCGGCTACAGAGAGCCGCCCCCGCCCCCGCCCCCGCCCGGGCGAGTCGCACTCGGAGACACCAGTCTGCCGCTCCTCCCCGAATAACAATGAGACGACACGCCGCCCCGTCCAGTGTCCACCAGTCGGTCAGATGTCCAACGAGAAAACACGGTGGCGTCGACCAGTCTTCCCGAAACTAAATCAGCCGGATCAGGGGCTGCTTTTCGCCGGCACTTAGGGCGCTAACCTGAGGTTCCTGTTAGCGAGCTATTTCACGCAGGCTTGCATAATGCGACAAAGTGAATCCTGCCTGTAAAGGTGACCGCTGGTTTGTTCGGGGTGGACAGATGTGGCACTGTTGCGAGAGTCCAGGTGACTCATCGAGCTGCTCAGCGCGCATTGCAGATGCAGTGACTCAACGCTCAATCGTGTTGCACAAACTGACCAGCACCAGCCTGTTGAAACCAGAGCAGTCACGAGCGCTGCCCCAATGGGCCGCGACAGTGCTCTGCACTCTGCAGCGGCGCCACAGCCGGCGACGCAACTCCTCAGCACACTGCTCTTGTTCGCTGATACAGCGAGGTCAGCTGACGGAGGCAGGACCAGTTACTGGACTTACAGGACTTACACTTGCTTATACTGGGCCGATTTAGGGTTTTCGTGGCAGCGTAAAACCTTCGTGAGGATCGGAGCACAGTCTTCCGGCTACCTGCAATGCAAACAGCGCCAACAAACATGCCATTTCGACTTTGCCGAGTGTCGGTCTCATGCCGACGAAACGTTCCGAGCCGGTCTACATTATG